TCTAATATTCTTTCAGAAATTTCCTTCTTTTGCTCGCATTATTTTGGATCTAACATAGAGACAAGATTGAATCGTCAACCAAGAAACATTGTCAGTGTGAATGATGATATGGATAATTATTTGTCTGTCTTTAAACATCGAGGTCAACCACTAGGTGGAGAAATGCGTATGCGTGCATTGTCACCCAAAGAATTAAAGGCAGCAGAACTTTATGTTTTGCTTAATTGTGAAAAAGTTAATCCATGGATTGCGTATGTTCTCTAGTTTTAACTTTCATTTGTTTAAGTTACTAGTATGTTTAGATTGTTTACTCCAACTTCTTTATGTAGGCCTTTTGATTATAAAGCATGTTCCAGTTTATTAGAGGATCAAATTCAAATCAAACGGCAACTTGAATTTATTCCTTAGTTTAAGACAACGGTAATTAATTTATTTTAATAATCTTTATTAGTAAGATCTCAATTTTTATATATTTTAGGATTAAATATTAAATATTTTTATAACAAATCTAGGTGCGTAGTGGAAGATATGAGATTGATTCTCGCCTTTTGCCTTTAGTAACTAGCCCAGTCAATAACGTTAGGGTATACAATGGTTATTGGGTTAATGGATTTCGGTTTTATACTATCGCATATGGACAAAATAAAAAGACCATGAATAGTGGTGTTTGTGTGAAGGGAACCACTTTCAATGATGAGTCAGATTATTATGGGAGTTTGAAGGAAATAATTGAGCTTTAGTATTTTGACTCATATGTTCATCAATCAGTGATTTTGTTCAAGTGTGAGTGGTATGATATCAACAAAGGCATTGTGGTCCATCCGACATCTGGTATAGTTGACATAAATCCTCAGTTTAAATTACAAACAGATGAACCATTCATATTGGCTAGTAAAGCTCAACAAGTGTTTTATGCCTGTTATCCATCTCAAAATCCTTGTAGAAAAGGGTGGTTTGCTGCATGTAAGATTAGAGCAAGAGCAATAATCGACACTTCATCATTGAGTGACGGTGGAAATATTTATTATCAAGACGATGATCCTCCTATTCCACAATTGGTGCAACCCTCGACTGTTTTAAATGATCATGTTTCATTAGCATCTCAAGGGGGAGAACAAGTGGTGATTAGTGAGGTCATGCAATTACCATATGTGACAGAGGAAGAATGTGTGGGTGAGGATGATGATGAAGAGGAAGAGTTTGATGGAACGAAAACATCGGAAGAAGAAGTTCCAAATTACTTAACCAAGAGTGATAGTGACTAAATGTATCTTATTTGATTTTTTTAATTAATTGAACAAGAGATGAAGGACTACTTATATTTTCTTTATAATGTATTTCCATTAATGACTTTTATATTTATTTTTATATCAATATGTCTGTTATAATTCTTTA